TTGCTGACCTCACTAGTGCTCGAAGCACCGCTGCAGCTCCAGGGTGAGTCGATGAACTTAGTATATCTTACCTTAGGGGTATTTGCTGACACACGGCCAGCTACTTTCGGCCCAAAGAGATTGCACCATTCGGTGCATTGCAGGATGGAGGCATTAGAGCTAATAATCCAACAGATACGGCTCTGTGGGAACTGAATTGCATCTGGCCCGAGTCAAACGGGCCTCACTTGGTTCTCTCCGTTGGGACGGGTTGCCAAAAACCTGTGAGTCATGAATTAGGGCCGTATCGCGGCGTATGGTTAGACGGATTCATTCCGAGAATCCTGCGTGCCTTTTTATCTTCGCCGTCCTTAGACGCTGAAAGCAGTTGGATGGCTCTCTGGAATCGTCTGGATGCCAATACCCGAGAGCGTTACCACCGCCTGTCTTGTGAATTCGATGGCGAGCTGCCCGATCTGGATGACAGCTCCCAGATTCCTCGACTGATTCACATGACCAAGAGCAGTACTGTCGACTATGACACATTGAAGTGTAAATTGTGGGCGTCACGATTTTTTTTTGAACTCAGCTCAAGACCACAACGCATTCGTGGTTACTACATCTGTCAAGGCAATATTCTTTGCCGGTCTCGAGACTGTCGTCCAGTCATCGAGGCGATCTGTCGCTGTTTTGATTCACCTAAAATTGTAGTGGAAAACAAACCGATAATTGACCTGCCCGACGGCACTTGCTTTTGCGAAAGCTGTGGATATTTCCAGAAAGAAGTGACGTTCGAAGTTTCCCACCTCGGACACGTGGCTTCGTTCTACTTGGAGTTCAATGACTCTAGGCAGAGTCCCTTAGCCAGCTTTCCGAAGCCTATGGCGTGGTTTATGGCAAGGCAGCTGAGACATGGCAAGTTATTCCAGTGGAAACCGGGATCTCCATGCTGTGCAAGAGGGCCAAAAAGGGAGAGGGCAAGTTCGGCCAGAGGTAAAGCGAAGCGGCGAAAGCTTACATAATGCTTTAGTCCAATAGAGATTCTACCTCTAGGTTCACGAGACTATCGTGGCCTACGACTAGATCTAGGCGTCTATCAGTTTGGTTTCGAAGTAGTAGAGGTGTTGAACGCCTATAAGGTTCTTAGAAACAGCGATTCTTCTAGAAAGTCTGAAGGGTGTGGTTGATCCTTATGATCATGGAATCGACACGAACCCGCTTCACGAAGATAATTCTTTCTATGCCACCGGGATTTGTGCCTTAAATATATCTAACGCAATCGCAGTCCCCTTAGATACCATAAGCCGCTGTTTAGCCATCTAATCGTCCGTACGGTTATAAGAACCCTTCTATAACTCTAGCTAGTGCCGTACGGCATAAGTTGGAAAAGCTAGGTATGATCTAGAGGTATTTATATTTCGAAGATACCGTCTGGGGCCTTAGCTGCTATAATATAGAACAAAGCTGCTAGGGAATGCGATTCGACGCTTGCCAACCCAGTGCACGAATTTCATATCTGTAGCAAGCTCTACTGGCGCATTCTCCTCCTTAAAGCAAGCATCACTCAATAAGTCACGCCTCCTGACAGCATAATGATAGTAAATCACCTTGTCGCCCGTGACCCTTCAAAAAGCGGTGCTTCGTTGTTAGATCACACCTTATAAAAGACGGTAAATCAATAACGCACCTGCAGGAGATGACTTGCCGATTCTGTCAATGTTTGACTAAGGAAGTCCACCAGTCGTAAGGAATAGCGCTGAGGATCGGGCTTTCGCTCAGAGTGAGTGCTCTTCGTTACCAACGTCATGGTTATTTTTCCGACGTCCTGAACATCACGATAACCTAATATTTTATCATGATAACTGGTCCTTCGACAAAGTTCAGGTTCTGCTAAGATAGAGTTAAGTCGTTAAGACAGTTCTCGAGACGGGGAAGCATACCAATTATGACCTTTCCTGCTCGACTAACCCAAATATTTGTCAAGTTTAATTTTCCGTGCGTTAAGTTGTGAGCTGCGAGGAAATCAAGTGCTCGCATCAACTGTTACTCATCAGCGTACAATGGCAAATAGGTATACGGGAGGCTTCCCTGCCCTGCAATAGCAGCAACTTCGTTCTCGGTAGGGAATCTAGGATTCCCAAGGATATGCAGAAGACTAAGATCTATGTAGTCACAGACAATATCCACTGTGGAGTCTGAGATAAATACCTCAAAGGATTGGAGGAAATAAGGCTTTCTGCGAAACTGAGCTAGAAGTCTCAGCTTACGGTAGAGTCTCTCTTTACTCGTTTGTCGGACCAGAACACGATTTTCCCAAGTCTCTTTCCTTTGGGCGACGCTAACCAGCCCGTTTAATGCAATCTCATACTTTTGAACGTACATGGTCCACACCGAGAAATTCGATGTCTGAATTGTATTGAGCGACTCGCCCCCCAGGCTAGAGTGAATTTCCAGTGGGAGCCGAGGTGGTTTGAATTTATCCTTTTGAACTTCTTGTCCTCGAGCACTATTCTCCTCTGGGTGAGTGCTTCTTCTAGGTTCCATGGACTTCTATGTGGCCAACCTCAGTAGTTGGGGACGGTGGGCTTCAGAGGATAGCAATATGCAAGAAGCTGGTACTGTATTTATTACAGTAACAGCGATTCTTCTACTATACAGAGTATAAGACATACAAGGATATATCTAAGTAGTGGTATCCTGCATATCCTACGGAAGGGGTCAGGGTAGATGAAATACAGGCTGTACAGTACCTCAGCCAGCTCTGGGTCCTTCAGTAAGAGACGAATACAGTTAACCAGGTGCCTCGACGCTGAACACTCGTCAAAGGATGCAGATGAGTTCATGAGACGTCACTTCCCGTATGGCCCCGTAAATACGAGGTAGGGTCTACGAAAGCGGGGGGTAGTGGTGGCCATGTCGGTCGCGATTTCAGAAGCAAAATCCGCGGTTTTCTGTGATGGAATGCGAAAGCTGCAGCTGTGTGGTCAATCGCGGTTGGATGAGATGGCACACGAAAACCCATGGGAAGAGCCCGTCGAATTGGTTGCGTCGAGCACTTGCGAAATCTACGGGTCTCTGCGGCAAACGTAGACTACTAGTTTAGAGTACACAATGCACCGAAAGGCTGTGGAAAGCGGTCGATAGAACCCCCGCGACCATAGCCGCTCAAAACTCGGTTCACAAACATTCTGAAACGCTACCTCTGGTCGGTCGTGACTGTTTCAGACGATACATGGAAGACCCTAGGAAGAGGCCGCAGACTAGTCGCGATTGTAGCAAAAAGCCTCGGGATTTTGGGCTGAATTAAAAACAGTACTACTTTAATCGTGATTGGATAAGATAAAGCACGGAGAGTCTCGGGAAACTGTCTCTATATCGGTCTCCAGTGTGGTGACAAAATCCTCGAAAAAGTGTGGTGAATTGTGAAACACTTCTACTGATTGACGATTCTGGATTGGTTAAGATGAGCGGCCCCGAGATCGCTCGTGATCATAAGTGGTACTGTATTGCTCACCACCGAAATTGGGAAGGTGCGCAGGTACTGTACAGCCCATCTCGAAACCGGCTTCCCTGTGGCTGTGGGGGGCGCTTTTCCACAGACGTCTAAGCACGCTTTCGTGACCGGTATTTCATTTGACAGACGTTTTCCACAGATTACGCTGTTACTGTTCGTAATAAATCTCCAACCTTTTTGAATAATGACGCCGAGCCCATTTTCCTCTGCCTATCGCGAGAGTATGCTAAGAGCGGCACCGGTGCCCCTATTGGTCCGGCGACTGGTACGCGACAAGTTCGGTTAAGCGGATTCATTTCATCTCGTCCTTCGAGATTTGTTCTAGACTATTCTGCGAAAAAGCTGGCCAACACAATTGGAGCTGCCAATCCCTAACCTGGTACCATGACGATTTACCCAGCGCCACCACAGCCCGTGCTGTAGACCTGCTCAAGGACGGACTCCCTTACTCCTTCCAAAAAAAGAAAGTGTTCAAATAATGCTGACAGTCTCCCTTCTGGCAGGGGCCAAGCTGCTTCATGCTTGTTCCAGGATCAGAAGAGACGAGAGCCAGCAGCTATTGCGATCATTCCAGCGTGCGCCGTAGCCTCCTAGGTAGTTGTCGCCTGGAAACCAACGGTTATCACCGGTTCAATAGGTTCGGTGCTGCCTGCTGAAAGGCTCGAGGCTGCGTCTCTTGCCGCTGTGGCAGCGATGAAAGTGCGGCCGCCAGATGCCCGTAGAATAGTTGTGGCAGAACTGCTTCTCGGTGAGAAGCGATTCTGGCGTGACCTCCGGACGTGTTGTGATGCGAACTCTAGCCGCAGGCCTTTCTCATGTCCCTCGCAAAAAAGCGCATTTGGGAGAAGAGCCTCGTCAAGCTCATCCCACTGAAGATATATGTCATGGTCTCAAGATGCTTGGGTTGCGTGGTTGCCGCAGAGGTGCGATTGTGTTTAAGCAATAGCTGAGTCCTAAACAATGAGAGATGCCGCGAGGCTGCGGCGGGTGCGCGAGGACCCCTTCGCCAAAATAAGGCCCGCCAAATAGCTAGGCTCTCGAGAACATTTTCCGGTCAGGGTGTATTCACTTTCCTTCTGCTTACAAGTCCGCTCCGGCCTTTTCCATCAACTCATACTTTTCAGCTAGTTCTCGGACGTGGTCTATTGCTCTATATTCGTTAGCTTAGACCGATAGGCACCTAAGCCGTTGTTGTCATACTCTACTCGTTCATTTCTCTCCGGTTCCCTCAGTTGCTGAGATGCATAGTACAAACGACAACGATCCCAGAGTTGAGCTTTTGGCTCACCGCATTGTTGTTCCACAGCCGCACAAATGGCCTTATGGTCTGCCACCGCCAAATTCACAAGTGGTCCACAGAGAAACGCCCATTCCCATTCATCGTGACCATAGATGGGCGACGTGCTGTGATACACTGACAGAGTCAAGTTTCCGCACAGATTCCCCAGGATCAACGATGGTCTGGCATTTAAAGGCCTGATTAGCAACTCGACGAGCCGTTTGAAGGTCGAGATGAACTCTTCTTCATTTTGCCACGGCCCATACCGAGTCTTGTTAAAGGAGATAGCATCTTTCGTCCAATTATCAAGGAAATCAACCCAATCAGTGTGCCACGTCACATACTGAGGTCGCTCCTTGAATAGTGTTGGAGCCGAAAAGCCAAAATTGTCTCCCCGAGCCTCTTCTGAATCTTGAAACTCAAGCAGCTTCGTCACTTGCTCCAACGCTTTGACCCGTTTTTGAGGAAGATACTCGTCGATATTAAAGTATACCGTGATGCTGCCGTCCAAGAGGCTCCCAAAGCCGGCAGGTTTTGGCACCTGTTTACCGGCTAAGCTGGTTTTAGAGATCACGCTCAGAGCATTATACTCGGCATCTTTCATGTGTTCTGCGGCCGGCCCGCTTCGTTTTCTGAGGAAGTATTTCTTCAATCTGCCGTTAGGTGTTTGGACCCAGAGATCAAACCCTTGTTCGCGGACCGGGTGATGACTCCATAAACTCCATAGTGCCACCTTGTGCTCACTGATGACTAGAAACCCTTCTCCGAGCGCAGAAGCAACAGCTGCCCTGAGTGCTGCAACCGCAGAGCGTGGCACCCATGGAGCCGTTATGGGGCCACGGCAATTTGGACATTCCGGGTAAATCTCAAGCAAAGACTCTTTTTCGTAAGAGGCCGGTTGATATTCAATCCATCTGTTGAAACAATCTGGATGGATCGGCATCTCGATACACCCTCCATGCAGAACACAACTTCCCGTAAGCATCTCAGCACAAATGAGACAATTCTTGTCATATTGAAGGCCCTGGAGAACAATAAGTTGTAATTCGACCGGAAATGCGTGCGGAAACATCTTGCTGACATCCTTCGTGCTCAGAATCAGGTTGTAAGGTATCCAGACGGCCGGCGGGAGGATGCCACAGTCGATGTTTACGCGGACCTGTTCGCCGTCGGCGGGATTTTCGTACTCCACAGAAAGGGTTCCTCTTCGTACAATCTCGATCTTAACATCACCCCACCGAAAGTTGCCCCATTCTCCAAGCCGAACATCCTGCACAGGCAAGTCTTCTGGAACCAATGATAGCTTCAGATTTAGTGTGGTCACAAAGCCAGCAGATACCCTCCGTGGTTCTTCTCCTTGCGTACGCCTGACCAAGAGCTGGCCGGCTGTTCTAAAACTCATCTTCTGAAGGTTGGTCTTTGGATGGTTGATTTTGTTTTGGGAGGAGGGTGGCAAGACGCTGTATATATCGCAGTGCGATGAATGTTTACTCTAACTTTTGTGTCAACTGTGCGAGGTGCTGCAACGCAGGATGGGCGATGCTACCGGAGCGGTCCAACAAATCAAGAGAACTGCTTCGGACTTTTTCTTCCCGTACAATCAGAGAAACTTAGTCTGTCTAAGCAGGAACAGCTAGGGTACAGGACCATATCAAGGTTCGAACGATGTAAGCACACCGCCTTTATGCGACAATTTTTCTTTTCCACGTAGGCGTGGAGGACGGCTGGAATCAAGCTGCATGAATTAGGGTCTACCTGGCAAAATACGAGTTCGACGAAGTGATGAGGTAACATTCTTCACCGGTCAGCCAATTTTACCCGATCGTCTATTTTCACCACTGACTTCGTGACAATTTTTCCACAAGTAAGCGCTCGATTAGAACTCGTTCTTTGAAAGGAGGCAACACTGTCTGCAGTTTGGCAGAATTTCCATTGGTTCAATCTGAAGCCATTCCCATCATACCCTCATGATTGGAAATTTTGCCCAGAGTCGTTGACCTGCGGATCAGGACGTCGATCAGTGGTACCAGTCGTTCTCAATCATTTTGATTCCATCCGCTGCGTTAGCCGCTTCGACCTCATCATCAGTGTCATCCCACCCACTTTCATCTTCGAAAAAACAATTGATATCATCACTAGAGTCTGTCTCATTATTTGCGCGAAAATAACTCCTCGATCGTACATCGATGTGCGTTACGACATGCCGAATGTGGGCGCCTAACGATATGAAAGTGGCTGCTACAGTACTATTGTAACAAAGGTTCAGACGTGCACACATATAAGTGGTCGGTGGAGGATCTTGGTGGCGCGCGACTTGCATAGCTGGCCTCAGATGATGGATCAATAAACCTAGAGAGATACGCTACGTGGAAACTCCTCATTGGCTGTACCAACGTACATGAAAGGCAGGCTCCGCAAGGCAGCTTAATTATAAACACCTTTGTGGCAGTCATGCACCCAATTGCCGGACGCTGAACGATACCCCGCATATCAGATAGGAGTGCCGCAACCCAGTAATTTCGAACACCACAGCACACGTATATAGCAGGATTGCATCATAGGTAAGAGTGCCAAGTTGTGTGACTGCTCCGTCTGGGGCACAGGATAAAGCAAATAGATGGTTGGAATAAGACAATACTTACACACTCAGTTCGGAGTTTCAACTAATGGATGTCAGGATCAAATAGCTGCCCCGATGCGGTTCCTATCTTTTGACAGTATACATAAATAGTGACTACGGGCAGGTATATTTTGTTGAATAGCAAAATGCAAAAGAGTATGCGATGGTGCTTTTCTCCAAGTGATGGGGGGTAGCCACTTAATTTCGAGATTCTTTGCACGCCCGCCAAACCCGCCTCAATCACAGCCCGGCGGCATACCTTCTGACATATATCACTGACCATTGTCATCCTGGTCAAGAAAGAATTGGAAAATTTTCAGCGGAGCTAACGCCTCGAAGTTCCATGCCACATAACGAGTCAATAATGCCCGCAGCAGATCTTCGCTGGCCGACAGTTCGGGCGTACTATGATAAGTCAGCTCCAATAGCTGGACCAATTCTCTGTCCCGCAGAGGATGAAAGGTACTAGTAGTATGCATTAAAGCCTTGCGTAACTTATGCAAAATCAAGTTCTTCAGGTCATTGACCCGGTATTGCTCAGCAAAGGCATAGAGTCCAACATGACAAAACGCCTCAGTATAGTCGTACATCAACGTATCATTTCTGACTTTGGTGTCCAATATCTTGGGAAACAAGAGTCTGGTGTTTGTGGAAAGGGGAGTGAGTGGTGGAGGTTGCTTCCAGATCGGGCTCTTCCCTCCTTGAGTATGCTTTCTTTTGGATGCCCAGCCAGAGTATGCACCAGGCTCTGCAATTGTTTCTGGGGCTTTATGAAAGAGGTCTTCGATTTGGGCGGGCGGACCAAACGGGTAAGGTACATCTCGTAGCTCTCTCTCGGAACGACATCATCCGCACGAGGGTGTCCAACCTCAGGGTCATCAAGCACGACGCAGGGTGCAACGCAATCGTAGTCCCATAGATGAACTCTGAGAATCTTGTAAATGTATCGCCGTCTACGTTGTTGAGATGCATGCAATTCTCTTGCGATTCTCTCATTCCACGATGCATCAGTGTGTGCAAGACGAGGGAATGTCGTGACAGAAGGTCCGCATGTAGAACGAATCCATTGGCCTGTCCCGCAACTTGGAACCGAAATACACTTCCCGTGAAGACTCTAAAGGAGTCGTGAGCCTTTTTGGGTCATGCTTGCGGCACGATCCATTGTTACTTTGCGCCCTCATTCAACATTGCTTCGCTGGAGACGGTTCGATAGATTTCTGCCACATTCGTCAGACTCTAGTATTGAACGTCGTAGAATCGCGTACCCGTTAGGATGCTCTGGAAAGCCAGGTCAACGTTGCTAGCATCGATCGCCGAAGTTTCGACGAATGAAAGGTTGTTCTCGTCTGATACAAGATCAGCGTGTTATCTTCGTATATGTATCCATCGATACTTACTTGCGAATTGTTTTGCTTCTTCCGTAGAGACTGCTCGCAAATTTCGTAAATCACTCTTGTTCCCAACAGCACGATGACAATACTGGTATCGCCAAGATCCCGGAGCTCTTTCAGCCATCTCCTGACGTTGTCATAGGTCTGAGATTGGTCATGTCGCAGACAGGAAGAGCTCCTACAGGCCTGGGGTAGTAAGTGGGAGGTATGGCTCGACATCGCTCTTGGCCGGAGGTATCCCAGCTTTGATCGTCTTATTGCCCACTTCAATTGATCTTGATGCAAACTTGGGCCGATCGTTGATTTGGAGTCCAAGTTGACCTCGTCTCGGATGAAACGGCTGATCAGATTGGATTTGCCGACACCTGAATCACCAATGAGAACAATATTGAAGAGAAGACCATATTCATCGTTCATGACGGTTGAGGCTAACGTTTTGGAACGGTGGTGTAGAAGGAAGTGATAAAAATGATGAACGCATTGAGGAAGAGGAAGTTAAGTCCTGGCACGAGTGAATGAGGGGTAAATGTTACACAGTAGACAAGCTCGTTATCCCTTGAAAGTCGGGAGGTGGATTTTTGCGAGGTTCAGCAGACCGCAAGCTAATGACCTCGGTTAGGCGTACACACACTGTATGGCTCACATAGTTGATCACAAATTAAAAGAAGAGCAGCTGTTTCCATGTGGAGGTTATTAGATCAAGAACAAACGCTGCAAGAATAGCAGAAGAGGAAATAGGGAACGAGAGGAACAAAGGTGACGCAAGAACATGAATAATAATGAACAAGGCCATGACGTACGGAGTAGTTTGTATCCATTTGAAAACATGGGAGCACGCAACTTGAAGCAAACCGTGCGACACGATACATCTCGGGTATTGTGCATATATAAATTCTACACAATCTGTGTACATTACAGTACTACAGTATAGACGCGGATTACATACTGTACATACGGTATATATATAACCATGCTAACACCTCTCTCGATTCCGGCGCATCCAATGACATATAGCAACACGCCCGCTCAGGGTAATTCTTCACCGGTCTCTTCGAATCCACTTATTCCTGAGGCTGGTAGTCCAATTCGACCAACTGCAGCTGTGCTGAGCAATGTTGTTGGCAAGCGTCCCTGACTCGACCTCGTATTGGTTCTGCTGCAGAGACTGTTCGCCACGACAGATTAGATCTCTATAAACAGCCACAATCACGCAAATGACTTACCCATAACTATTGTACGACGACCCGAGGCAACAAATGCGGAGGGGTTGAAGTCTGCGACGTTTCTGCAGGTGTGGTCGTCTGGCCTGCTTGGTCGCCACGCCCCTGTGTTGTGGATCAGACTTTCCCAACTCGCAGCCCCCTCGTAGAATGTCACTCGTCGACCAAGACGAAGCTCTTCAGCTCCAATTCGATCGTGGAGGTGATAGATTGAAATGCTGAGGATCTAGTTCTGTCATTTCCCTCGGTCCACAGCTTACACTTGAGCGACTCACATAGGCATTGTCGAATGTGTCGTCGAGCAAAGCTCGATTGAGAAGATCGCGGGCCGCTGCGCCATCCGCTTCCGCCGTTAGCGCCTGGACAGTTCGAACTTCTTCAAAGCTACATACCGACGGTGTTAAGTTGCCAGAATAGATATATCCGTTGGGCTTTGACCGTGCCATTGTGAAATCCTCGGATTAGAGCCTGCAAATATGGCATTTGCGCCATCAGACCCCATCCGGAAGCGACCAAAATAACCACGCCATAATTTTCCACGCCAATCGACCGGCCATGAGGTCCACTAAAGAGGGTGAGATACGAATTCGCCGACAGCGCGTGGTCTCCAGCAGGGTGTTGAGCTTGAGCTCGCCTCAACAGCTTCGACGTCCATCCGCAACGTGGTTCGATCATCAACTCGAGCCTCGTTCCACGCTCATGATCCTGTGCAAAGCTGACGTAGAATGGATGGCTTTGGAAGAGTGAACAGAAGCTCAGTCCCGGTATGGTCAAGTTGATGTACTGTCCCGGGCGTAGCCTCAGTGGCGTCGGAGTATCGACCACGAGACAAACAGCGTGCCCAGCGCGGAAGATACGAGATCGAGAAAGGCCGCGATAGAACATTCTGTTGATCCATAAAACGTGAAAGATTTGGGCGACAACGCCAAGCCCCAAACAAGCGATGACGGCCGTGGAGCAGTACTGAGCGAAGATGCTGCTCCCACGAACGTGACTCCAAACGGCGTACAGTGCGGCGACACTCAGTAGCTGATGGATTCTAAGGAAAATCTCATACGAAGGTCGTCGGAGCGGCCGGATGGATGAGATAAGAATGCCAGCTACGGCCAAGGCGGCCTATGAAACGTTAGCGTCACTATCCCGGATCTTCAACGTCCGAGCACCATACGATTACGCCGTACAGTTGCTTTGACAGCTTCGTCGTGAATACCGGTTGAGTGGGCTTGAGTACTACAATGTGGAAAGTCGTTATAATGATAAAAGACCACGTGGTTCCACGATGAATAGATTTGATCTTTGTCAGGGACACTTGAAGACAGTCCGCTTGGAATGCCAGATGAGGACCGAGGCAAAATAGCCCCATATTGACCAGTGCAACTTCACCAGCCCGTCGTGCTGCAGTGGCGATGTCGAGGGAGCGGTAACAAGCCACAAAAAGATTCGTACCAATCAAGACCGACTGTACCAGTACTGACCACCACGACCATGAGCCCAGCCATTTTGATTCGAAAATCGAGTTAGTTCGGGTGAGATGATTTGTGAGCCAAAATGCCGGACCCTGAAACAGCTCTTGGCATTTCGCGAAGAGATGAGAGCAGATCCTGATCACAATGATGCTGCCAATGACGATTGCATAGATTTCGACGGCAGACATAACTTATATATATATAAGTTATGTTACTCTACAATACTATGTTTAACAGTCCACCCAAGGAAATATGTAGAACATGCATCAGCATTGGTCGAAGTTCGCATTTATACTCACAGATGTGCTCCACCGCGGATTGGAACGGGCAGCACGTAATGCCGGTGTGCCCCTTTCCTCGTACTGATTCTTGGTCCCTGACTAGAAGCCATAAGAAGCAGTGGCGGCGGCGGCCAATAATGCATCATACCCTTCGGGGAGTGTATTTGGGTCCCCACCCAAAATCATAACCATGTATATTTATGGCTTCTTGAGCCAGTGAAATGCAGCTGCACAGTATGGAATTGATCTAGTCATTCGACGAGTGATTTGGTAGCCCGAAAAAGCGTCGTGATGCCACTTGAGACAATCCAACCAATGGAATCAAATGATGCGGCTGCCAATCATCTCCAAGGAATTCATGCTGGCATTTGTTAGCCAATTTGTTTGCCGGCCTAAAGACGCGAGAAGCGACACCTGCATCAGCTGTGTTGCGGGACTAAATACCGATGCCGCAATAAAATCCAGCAATTTGGACGAATATCCTTGTCTTTGTAGCTGTCGTTCTTTATTGATACTCTTCGTCACCAATAATGATATCAAGTCTCCTAGCTCCTGAACATTTCTTCGGCCATTCGAGCCATCTTGATCTCGATTACATAGCTCCGGTTCAGCTAGATCACGGTCAGTCAATCGACCCACGGCTTTTCCCACCATTACAAAACGGGCCCAACCTATTTTGACATATCCATCGTCGTTGAGCAATATGTTTGACATGCTTAATCCTTCATGCACCAAATCATGCCGCTCAAGGAATGCTAGCGCTTCTACGAGCTGTCCCTTCGTCAGTTCTATGGAGACGAGCGTGTGCGGCGGCGTACCTGGCCTGTGATTGCCACAACCTCAACCTCTGTGGGAAATAGAGGGAGTCCCATAATGTGACCCAGGGTCAAGCTCAAATACTCGCAAACGAAGTACGGAGATGAAACGGAGCCGAACACCTCGAAACATCTGGCGAAATAAGGTTGTGCCATGAGCTGGAGCAACGTTTGCATTTGGTGATCAAGGTTCGTTGTCGCGGCTCGTCGCACGACAACTAGTTTCGGCGATGAAGTTTGCGGGATTGCGATGTCGACTTTCCCGTTCAACTCTAACTCAAAACATCGTTTGTAATTGGCCCAGATAGGACCTCGTCGATGTTGCATATATCGCTCAGAAGAGGAGTTTCGATAGATACGGCGCGACCCGGGCAGATTGGCTTCACGACCGTTCAAAATGGTCCGAAATCCCGCGGAAGCAACAAGACCATTATTGACGTCTTGAGCTCCTCTGGGGAGGTGTTCTTCATAGTGTGGAACTCCTCCGTAAAGGTTCTCTCCCAACTGGGTGATGCGGTGCTGGGCGCTGCTATCCATGCCGATTTCAATAAATGGCCGGAACGGTATTGAATGGCGCCGTCATCGGTCAGATTATGTGTAATCGATGCAGAATAGGGCCCTGTACCGTAGTACTACAGTATATGTAGAGGAAATGGGAACTGCATATTATAAACTCTCGATACTGTATTGTGAGGGGGAATTAACTGGCTGCAAGACCACTCCTACCTGTGGATTTCTTATTCGGCCACTGCTTTTCCGGACTTCGTTTGGTCCTTCGTGACCACTCAGAACATCACTGATCGATTTGCATGTCGCTTTCCAACCAAGCAATGCCGAAGACCCGGCGAACTTTCCAACGATCTCAATTTGATGTACTGGATCAAGAAGCTCGAATCGAGGAGGAGCGGAAGCAGCGGTTTTACGGTTCAGCACGAGTCGATCTCGACGCTCTTACCTTCGATACCTCGCCAGCGTGTCAGGTCCATGAGCCAAATATCGAACGTCTGGTGTCGGCTTTTCAACGAGCAGGATGTCTTCGCTTGCACCCTCAATACCACGTGCCTGCCATCGTTGTGAAGGGGGAGCTGGACACGGCCATCGCAAATGCGGCGTCATCCCAAGACGCTCTGTTGCATCACGACCCATCGAAGTGGCCGACCTTGATATTTCCTGATACGCTCCGTATTCAATGTCTTCACGGACGACACCGTGTCGAAGCGGGGAGGCGGTATTTGTCCGTCAACGATCGGTGGTGGGTCGTGGACTTCTATGCACCGGGTAAGTCAGACCTTGGAAGTCTTCCTTTGTGTGAAATAGGAGAGAATGTCGCTGACACCGCGTCAGATTTAAGTGCAGAGCTTCGTGCTAAACTGGTGCAACAGAACTTGAACGAGCAACCGCCCAATGTCGGAGACGTGTTCTTCCACATCCTCAACTGCATACCCACCGATACGAAAGCGATCAACTTCTGGTGGTCACAAATCCATTCCAAGGATGAAATCCGGGAGCTTCAACGATTGCTGAAGAAGCCTTCCCTGGTCGGGGCGTTTCGACAGGTCGCGCAGATCCCAGCTTTTGGACGAGAGCTCTTGCCAGGAAATATCGGGGGTCTGTTGCGTCTCAAATGCGACGAGGAGATCGTTCACTATCTGCTCTACATTTGCAATGCTTGGAGACAACTTCTCAATGGTGTGACGGCAGCAGAGCGGCGCGTTGATCCACAAGCCGTCACAACCGTGCGGCTGCGGAACGCCATGTACTGTAGAACAGATCGCGACTTCCTCGAACCGCTCGTTCGACGTGGTATGATATTCGGGAATTTTCAAGCCTCTGAACGTCAAGTCATCTGGCGCAACATGAAAAGATTCCCGGGCAGGATCCCTTCTCTAGGTGTCTTCTTTGAGGACTTCAAATACTTGGAGGATGTCGCAGCGTGCCTCAAATGGCTTTTCGATATCCCTCGTGGTCAAACCGTGTTCCAGGTTCTGAACCAGTCTTATGTCTCGGTATCCTCTACTGAGGCTTCACGAGACTCTTCTACTCAAGAGGCTGGACACAGAATTTCTCGGGAGGATTGTTTCGATATCGCAAAACGGCGGCTCGTTCTATTCGTCATGCAGCACTTAGAAAGTCTGCGGCCTGGATCAATCCTCTTGGAGCAGGATGGCGTTAAGAATATCGTCGAGACAACGTCGCAAGTTCAGCATCAACTCGTCAGAGAGGCGTACAATCTCGGCTTTCGATCTGCCAAGCTTATCGATGTGCTCTTCGAAGACCCTGATCGCATTGAAGCACGTCGGTCTCTGTTACGCGCTCGCGATCCGCAATATTTCGTGTATGACGAAGCGAAATTCGAATCGCTCGTGGATCGGCTTGTCGAGACGTATGCGGAAGCCCAACGGATTGAGCGCGACCCAGGTCCATGTATTTTCGTGGCCAACGGAAACGGCGAATGTTTGAAACGCCGGTGTGGAAGACCGTATCAACGAGCTTTTGCGGAAAGTGCCACCTTCATGACACTTGAAAACATGCATAAGGATCAGCATTTTGGCCTCGGCGGATTGGCGCCACTTTTCATTCGGCGCGATGTGTACTTGGCCTTCTTTGGGCCTTTAGACTCTGCGCACTTGAGCCAGGCAAGAGGTCCAGAAGTTAACCTCACACCTAGAGCGACTTTACACGATTCTGGTGTGGTTGAGAGCGGCAACGTGCTCGGTCATGCATCAGCATATGAATTCCCCACTTCTACCTTGGGTCCTGACATATTACACAATTCACCTTCAAGTTCAAATGCAGGGAGTGCGTTGGTCCTTTCCAGGCGGCCCCGGGCCGAATCGTATTCGCCTAGTCAATACTCGCAATCGCAGGATGAGCACCCTGCACCCGACATGACAGGCGCATCAGAATCTGGACAAGGCTCGGCGGGAATCTCTTTTGTTGTGCTTGAGCGAAATAAGCGAAGGACGGCGGGGTTGATACCCCTGAACGAACGGGTTCAGTTGGCGGTTGGAGAACTCGTGGCACAATACGCCGAGCGAGGCTACCATCCATTTGACTCAAGCTTCCACGCTCTTGCAGCACATCAGTGTGTCCGTGCAGCGATGGAAGAACCGGATAGAAGCGTATTACTAATTCACGAGGATGAAGTAAGGGTGCAGAATTTCAAGACGCTAGACAGCCAGTCCCGTAAACGACGAGCCAGCGGAGAACTTGGCGGTCGTCCACGCAAATTTTTAGTCTTTTAATCTGAAAGTAGCTAGCCAGTTATATGTCCGAATGGGTAGAAAAGGTACATGGTCGAGGTCTATTGGGTTTACTCCAGTGTTAGGGTCACACCATTGTCCACAAGTTGGTCTAGGCCAATTAACTGGTCTAGACCAGTTCTACATCATGGGTCTAGACCAATGTTAAGGTCCAGGCCAAATGAAAGTGTGGTCCAGGGTTCGGGTCAGACCATTGTTCATCGAGTTGGCCTAGGCCAATTTAATGGTCTAGACTAGTTCTATATCATGGGTCTAGACCAATGTTCGGGTCCAGGCCAAATGAAAGTGAATGGTCCAGACCAACGAGAAGATTACCGTGGCACGTTCGTGGTGATACAACTCAACGGAGGTTGCAGGGAAATTTCCCACCGAATTTGGCGGGTACCTGCCCCGCTTCTTATTGGCCCAATAACTTCCACGTATTATAGCATGTAGCCAGCGAGGCTACTATATCCTTGTGCTTTCACACTAATGTACAGTGGTACCCACTACACGTTGAGGACATTGTCATTTAATTCTACGTTGCTTAAACACGGCGGTCATCATGGTATAGCTCGTCTTTCCTGTTATATCTTGTAGGGGTCCTACAATCTACAATCGACTCATGGAGCTTCACGCAACTATTTCGCAATGGTATGGTTTGGGCATAATCTCTCTAACCTTGGCATGGCAGACTTTTCGAGTCTTGCGGTGGGCCTTTCGAGCTCTCCTCTCACCTCTGGCCTTTTTCTGTGTCGAGTGGCTTGCAGCAAGTTTGAGACGTAGTTTTCCGACAACGGCAATAAGCGAATTCGACATCATTTTCGTCGTGTTGTACGTTACTGTAAATGCAATATGTCTGAGTATGAGGGTGAACGATCTCGCCGAGGTTACCATGCGAAGTGGAATACTTGCCACCATTAACTTGGTTCCACTTCTGGTGGGCATTCAACTCAGCGATGTAGCAGACTTTCTGGGCATCACTCTTCGGATGCCAACAATCATGCATCGCTGGATAGGATGTATGACGCTGCTAGAAGCGACGATCCACATTATAGCCAGAGCATTGACTGCGGGATTACAATGGGATTCGCTGGTAAAATCTGGAACCGTTGTAAGTCTGTGTTGTTGGAACGGACTACAAATAGGAAACTAATCCCATTTTATGCTTCGATAGCACTCACCTTCACCGCTCTACTAACGGTCCCAGGCACACGTCGTCGTTTCTACGAGTGCTTTTTAACCTTGCACATTTTAATAACGGGGGTGGCAGTATCGGCTCTATGGCGTCATCTCTCCATTCGCCAATTCGAAGCTCGATTTTACGTTTTGGGGGGGATTGTTTTCTGGGCCAGTTGGCTCCTTGTTGGTCTCCTTCTCGATGGTTGTTACATTATCAATCTAGGTCGAGGAAGTTGGCTGCCCAGAGTAAGAATTGTGACATTCTATCGGTCGCAACAGGGTGACCAGGTGGTCATGACGGGTGCATGTCACCTCGAAATACAGCTCCACCGTCTATGGGATGTGCAGCCCGGCCAATATCTATTCGTTAACATCCCCAGACTCGGAATACTGTCCGTATTTCAACGACATCCGTTTTGGATTGTCTGGTGGGAGAACGACCCCAAACGTGGGGTGATGCAGTTAGATATGTTGGTCCGTAAAAGGACAGGGTTCACACGACGATTGTTGTCATATCGTGACGATGAGTACGTGACATGGATTAGTCGTCCCTTTGGGCGGTCTGAAAGGTTTGGGGACTACGGATCTATATTGATGCTGGCTACCGATGTCGGTATCGCAGCACACCTCCCCTATTTGAAAACTCTGATGCAGGGTCGCTTGGAGGCCTCTATCCGAACCAGACGTGTGATTGTTATATGGCAAGTTCAAGACAGCAGTAAATTTCCAGGCGAAGACAACTTTTCCGTGGTACTGACACGCTACTCAGATCATGACAAGTGGGTCAAGAAATGGTTTGACAAACTGTTGCCGAACGACACATCCTTTGTACGTGTGTCTCTAAAAGTCAGGGAGGACTAACTAACCTCACTTGCAAAGATGTTGGAAATACGGATCCACAGCCCTGGAAATGCTCAATACCGACCTACGAGTGGCAGTGGTCGCCCCATAAACCTACTTCCGGGCGATGTGATCGCCGCCGGACAACATGACCTAATTAAACTGATTGCTCTGCCAGCCCATTTTGAGCAGGTTCTGGACGAAGAAAGGAGTCGAGATGGCCGAGGAAAGCTGCTCGTATCAGGTAAGGTCGTCCGTACTGGCGAATATTACCTGACCAGGTTACAGTGTGTGTTGACGCGAGGTCCAGAGCCAGTCTGAGGCGCGCAATCGCTGAGCAAGTGGATCCGAATGTGCAGTATCATGAACATGAGTATCAAGTGCCTGAGAAGTCCAGACGTTCTTTGGTGCTTGACGAGAAAGGCGTTCTTGGCAATTAGTCAAATACAATGGCAATCAGATACAACAAGTAATTGTGTCCTACCCTGGGTTTTTCTCTAATCGATCTTGCACTGGTCAGATTCGCTCGCGGCATTACTATTTATAGAGACTACGGTGTATAGACTGTGATGCCATTAAAACAAAAGCTTGGGTCTGTCGCCTGGCTTTTGCCCTGGACGACACTACTGAACGGATACAGTCGGGATGCTCGCTACGGACAAGGTGTGCTAATTAGTATCTCCCTGAATCGAATTGTACATCCTTTAGCCTGAACAATGGACGAATTAGTGTCCTCGAAAATGGTCCATCATAGTAATGCTCGAAGTCTCTAGTATAGGTGTTATTGAGAGGACTACGTCACATACTACAATCTCCATCCTACTCTCGTGTTGTCCACTAGTTCCACCGGTCCTATGAATATTGCCACACATTTACGCATTCAGGAGATAGTGACTTCTCACAGGCGGCATGCTGCCAACAGCAATGCAAGAAAAACCGGCTGTACCCTTGCTAACGAGTATGGCATCGCATGGACACCATCATATCCCGTGTCGTCAAAAGTACGGGACATAATTGTACTGTATGGCAAGAGAAAGACTCACAAGCGTTACAATGTTAGGTGAAATAAGGTCAGTAGAAGCGCATGTGCGGTCCTTAGTGGTTATCTATCTCAGTGGCGCCGAACGTTATACGCGCATTTGGATAATTATCCTAGGACCCTCATTACCTCATCCTGAAAGGTATTGACACACTGTTGGAAGCCTCTGAATTTTGCTAAGGCTGTGGCGATTTGTTGTTCAAATTCTACTATGCTCCTCTCTCCCTCTTCTTTCTGCGTCCGTAGACATGCGACAGCATCATCCCTTTCCTCGATTACCTTTCTGGCTTCCGTTAATTGAGAAGACTGAATTTTCGTACGCTCAGTAAGCTCCAGGATGATAGATGAAAAACTGCGAGATTTTGAGGCTTCTTGCAGATTTTGATAGGGAGCATTTCCAGTAACTTGAGTCACTATAGTGGTCGACCGTGGCACGCCCCGTGGGATGGCATAAATGGATTTGGATTCCCCAATCTCGGCAACGATCTCTTTGCATGCTGCAATATTGTGTTTGCTGATCTGCTTTTGGAACAAATGCTTGCGTTCTGGCAAATAGTCCCATTCGTATAATGAATCTGGCTCAGGAATCAACCGAACCTCTCTTGGTGGTACTTCAATGCCCAAGTGCTTTTCTGTGTTTCTCAGTCCGTGTTTGATACTGCGGCCTTAGCAGGATATAAACGCTTACGAATATGTTCAGACAGTAGCCGGCGACATCTCTCGCGCCATCGAGCACGACGTTGATTAGCTGGCCTCGGAGCAGCCTTGTGAGAATCCATGGAGCCACGAAGGACGATTTCCAAAGCGCATTGGCCCCTTTTGAGGCATAACTGACAGCCTCCTCACCTAACGGTCGGTACCACAGGAGAGCCATAGAAACTTGTGGACGGTCGTCACCCACAGAGTTTAGAGGTGGAGGTGAGTACTATCTCTGCACAGCTACATAAATCGGAAGCGGTATAAATGGATTGGCCCTTCACATTCCATGACATTCTAAGCTTAGTCTTGCTCAATTAATCCACAATGACTAGGAACACCATCCAGCATTCTGATTGTGGCGGGTGCAACACATTGATGTTAGAGCTTGCCAGAGCCAAGTGTGACCTTCAATGGTGCTTTGTCCGACTCAACCAGGAATACACTCGAAATATCTATCTGTCCTCCAACGTTACCTCACTGGAGACCACTCTTTCGGAGACCCAGGCTACTCTTCATTGCGCAATGGGTCTTCTCCAAACCTTGAACTCGCAATATTGGAATGTCCAAACGGTCGGAAGCATATGGCCTGAACAAAGTTGTGACGGAGCTGAATCTTCCACTGCGATGCCAACGCCCGGCGACAGACAAAGTCAAGGAAATGTCGAGAGATCTCTAGGCTGTGACGATCGACTGGAGACCAAGTAGAAGCTCATGATGACAAGGAACATGAGGACAATTGTACTATTACGTGTAGCAATGCCCTCACTGAAAAATCCTGTAATTGACACCTGTTTACCTATAAGGCGGCATAGCTATCGAATACGGATTGGATCTCGGTTCAAGAAGCCACCAACCCAGTAAGTGGGCGCAGAGGTATGCCGCCTGTTTAGAGATCAGTCTATGTACCCACACAGCAGTGATATTTGCGAGAAACTCATCACGCGTTTAATCATCGAGAATGAATATTTATAAGTGGCACCCCGAATAACCACGTTCTATTCAGGAGCTAGATATAGTCAGAACCTACCGGGTACCTCTTCAAGAGAAGCTTAGGATATAGTAAATACGCACCCCGGAGCCACTTGACTTACAGTAGAATCCACCCTCGAATGAATCTTAAGCATATGAAGCTGTGACAAAAGAGAGTAAAAAATATATAAACCCTTTTTATTAATAAAGATTAAAGATTATTATAAAAAAATTAGTAATTATATTATTAATAATATCTTTATAAAGCTAAAATAAAAATCTTTCTTTACGCTTTAAAGTTTTTAATATTATTTTTAAAGTAATATTTATAAAATAAATTAAAAATATCTAGCTAACGAGAAAGTTACTATTTAGTAGTAAGAATACTATTATAGAATTCTTTTAGATATAAGCTACGAATTTAGTAGGAAATATATAGTATAGCTTAACTATATTTTTCTAGTTATCGAGTCTAGATAATAAGATTATTAATAACTTTAATAAACTTTCTAAGGTAATTACGGTTTTCTATTTTATAATAAAAAATCTTTTTTTATTAGATATCTTTTAGTAGTTCTAGTCTATTCTAAATAGAGCAGTCTTTAAGAGAAGTCTTCTCGCGAACTAATAGTTTATTTATATATCTCTAATAAGAAATATTTTAGGCCTAACTAAAGTTTTTATAAGAATTTATATAGTCTCTTTATCTTTAGTAATAATAAACGAGGAGTCTTTATAGAAGATAAGTACTTTATCCCTAAAGCTAGAGTTAAAGTTTATAAAATCGATTATATTAAGTACTATATATATATTAGCGATATAATTAAGTTACTATAGACTAGGTTTAGGCGCTAAAGTAGTTACTATAAAGCTCTATAACTAGTTATTATTTTTATTAGAAGCGTTTTAGTTATTATTCTCTTTAGATATTTTAATTTAAGAGGCGAGACTAACTTTAATAGTCTAAGACTTTCGAGAGTTTCCCTTAAATCGCTTATTAGAGCTAGAGTGTTTACTCTAAAGAGTCTAATAAATAGTAAAGTTATATCTCTTCTTTCCGTAGTAAAAGTAAAAGTATTCCCTAGGAGTAGATATAGAGATACTAAAGAAGGGCGCTATATAGATAGTAGTAGCTTTAGTAGCGTTAGCTATTTTATATTCTTTATTAGTAATAAAAGTAATTAAAGTATTTAGTTTTACGGCTTAAGGGCTTAAAGCTAATATATTATAGGTGCCTAAGAATATCTTTACTAACTAATTATACCTTTAGCTAGTAATATCGTCTAAGAACTATTTAATAAGGTATAGTTTAAAGTATTTAAACTACTCTCTAAGGTTCGAAAGTTCGTTATTAAAGCCTCGGAGTTTAGTGCTAAAGTTACTAATATTAGTATAGTCGACTAAAGTAAAAGATAAAAAACTAGTTAAGACTATATCCTATTATTTAGTACTAGTGTATTAATATAATTTAAGAGTATCCTAAATATCCTTAATAGTAAGATACTTTTTAACTATTTATTTCGAGCCTTTCTTAAGAGTAAGATAAATAGTACTATAGTATTTATCGTTTATATATCTCACAGACTACGACGCAGATTCTTCAGACCCACTCTTCCATTTCCGTTCGTGAGGGTGTGCAACGCCGCTCTAGCACACCTTCCTGGGTGGGCTAGCGGTGTGCCGCTGGGTGTGCTCGGGTGCTGCACAGGGTGGGCTTGTTTCAGACGCTCTTGGCGCCAGTTTCCACCGAAGGCCGTGGCCGTACCTTGGGAAAGCCGCGACTTCCCGTTGCGGTCGGTCCCATGCCTAAAGAGGGTTACTCCCTAATACAAGAGGCGAGTGCACGTGATCCACGGGCACGAGAAAGTGGTGGTATTCAGCCAGTGGCACCAAACCTGGATAGGAAGCCTCACACTCGTGCCGTGATTGGCTCACCACCGGGCCCCCTGGTTGTTCTTCTGCGAACAGTCGGGATGTGTGGTTAGCCCTGCCACGAGTCTCCGTGGCGTTGTATCGGAACGCAAGGTGGCCTCAAGAACGGCCACAGAAGCTGAAACGCAGGGACTCTTCTTCATTGGTTGATGAAGTCACCCACGCAAATCCGTTGCTATGTCGCAGGGTCAATGGCCATCCCCATCTCCATTACTTAGCTCTTCTACTGTACACAGCAGCTGATCAAACGAGAATCACAATCGTGTCATAGGTCGTTGCACGGCCTGATGACGTGACCGTCAACGAGCACCTTATCCGACCGCGCCAGCGTCTGCCTTTTTATTCCGTCCGCCTCCTCATACAGTACTTGCCTTGGCTTCCCAGCACCTCTGCCAGGTTGCTTATGCTTCTTAACGTGTGTAGATAGTTAGGCCTAAGCAACTCCTCCCGCTGTGTCAGTGTTTGCCGGTTTATCCTTTCTGCCTCCTTGTACTTGCCACAACCGACTGGCTGGAGAGCGGCGGTAAAACCTAGAAAGTCTTGGGCAAACTAGCACTGCGGAGTATGTTCATATGGTCAGTTGTATCCGGCTATATTCAAAATGCTTTCGGCTATAATATAGTCCAGAGATCATGATACTCATCCCCAGTCGGATTTGATACATGAGCTAAACATTGGCAGTCTGTGGAGGTTCGAGTGACGGGAATGGCAGCAGGATATGCCACCAAGGCCGCGCTCACAGTTGTGCTTGTGCAACTCACTCCAATCGCTGTCCGATCCACCAGCTGCAATTCTTCATGATGCCTGGATCCAACTGCAAAGGTAAAAGGAGGTCGTGGATTGGTCGGCCTGCTAGTGACACAACGAGACAGCTGAGGACATCAATGTTGAATGTGTCTACATTGAGAAGGTGGTTAAGCTAGTTTGCCGACCGCCTCCATGTCGTATGTGACTCCGCGGCTTCGCGGAGTACTCGAGCGCGATGTCCTGCTCGCTGCGCTCTTGAGCCAACTGCAGAAGATCGGCTTCGGATCGTCGCCGTTCGGGCGTCAATGAACACTCAACGACGCAGTCATGAGTCGTGGCCCATAATGTGTAGGTGCGGTAGCAGGTACTGCCGCGACATATGATGGCTCGTTGGCGAGGGATCGGTGGGCACCACAACTGCAGTTGCGCGGCGGTTCGATTGCCGTCTGCATCGAGCGTCAGGCGGCCAAAACCATCGTCGCACGTAATGAGGCCGGCACAACGGCAGTCGTCCCAAGACGTCGAGTCAAGAGCCCATGAATCAACAATGTGGGTTTTCTGTGGCTGCGCATTCTGTTCAGCATCCGGCCACAGCGGACCAGTCCTCGGTCTCCCAATGTCCTTGGTGTGCGTTCTTTCGTGTCTGCAGGGTTGTGTCAATATCCAGAGTTGGGTCTTCCAAAAGGACCATGCAATTTGTCTATGCGAAAATCCCAGTACGGTCGCGTTTTTGACGCATTTCTCTTGAGCGTAATGATTGCGCCAGTCATGTCCAGCAGATTCTCATACAAGCAGACGTCGAGGCCACTTAATCGGTGGCCAGCTAAGATCCAAAGTCCGCGATGATCGGCTCGTCGATACACCTTGTCGGCTTCAACAACTTCTTGACGACTTTCAGATGCCATGAACAAATGTGACCAATCATCTGGCGTGTCTCACACAAAGTCTGGCTCCTCACAACCTGCCCAGGAGTCTTTGAGAAGGCACACTGGATTGAAGTCGAAATCAAACCCTAGAGCTGCTTGTTGCAGACTGCCATACTCAGAGGAGAACTCAAGGACCAGCACAGCACCCCACTGTCCTGGGTGCAAGATTGCTGAAAGACAATCACTTGAAGGGTTACGCGCGTGCATTCGTGTGGACGGTGGCAGCCAGCTATCCGTCAGAGAGAATCTGTATCTGGGCCTGTTGAGGCAGGCACTCTCCTTACTAGTGCTTAAAGTCTGATGTATGTAGAGTGGTCAGTGTTCAGTTGGTCTATCTTGACCTCGACGCGCTTTCCAAGTCCGACGCCAGACCCCGTTTTGACTGAGGTTGATTCGCGTATATTAATCGTCTTCTGAAAGGCGCTGGAGAAAGATGCCTATAGGTACTGACTCCAGCTGTGTAGTTCGATCTGCGCAGTCGAGGTACGCAAGGTACGTATCGGCCATCCATGGTGTAACTTTTAAATCGATTGAGAGGCCATGATTGGTCATCGCGAAAGGTCCACGTCCATTTAGAGAATCTTCCAATGATATGAATTGGCATTTACAGAAGTAAGCTGGACTAGAAGCAAGCAGACTAGAAAACTTCATGTCGTTCATCGACCAAGCAAAGATGGAATGGTCGTTGTTGTACTTGATGATTTCTTCCTGTAATCGAAAGAACGCGCGCAGTCCTTCCCTATAAAGGAGAGGCATATTAACATCAAATAAGCCCAGCAAGCAATACACACTGTCTTCAGCACGGGTTGTAACTCGTTCGGCAGCCCAGGACATTTTCTGCGCGATGGAATACCCTCTCAGATTAGTCGATCTAAGAGCTGTCGCAGGTATTTGGGTGACAGAGGCAATTACTCCAGTCAGAGTGTGTTTGGTGCCTAGACGTTGCCATCGTCGGTCGTAGAAAATGGCCTTCGCTGGGGCAAGTAGCTCCTGGAGAGTCCAACCGCGCGTGAACCATCTGGCTTTCGAGATGTTCTTCTTCCAGTTTGCCTTTTCCACGTCACTGAGATAAATATAGCAAGCCTTTGCGTCTCGATACCATCTGTACATCGAGTTAATAGCCTCACTGAGCTCGGCACTACTTTGTTTGTTGATGCAGCAGGTGTCAACCCAACAGTAATCCAGTCCCTCTTTCCTCGCCTGATTGGCGCAGTACCGCAGTTTAGCGTATCCTGCCTTGCTCTTCTCCGTCTTCTTTTCCATATCGTCAAAGGTGACCTCAGCGTCATCGGGACCCACGTATGGGACAGGATGGCGTAGGCGGCGGGCGGCGGCGTCACATCTTTAGTCAAGGTCAGCTCGCCAGAGGGGTCAAGATATAGGAGGCGCATCTTGAGCCGTTTGCCAGTAAAGAAGAGCAGCGGCTGAGGGCGTCAACGCGGGACGAGCATTTAGATCTTGAGCATGCGGGAGACGGCGACAAGGTGCGTGGTGGACCGCCGCATGGAAGGACGCATGCAGGCCACTGCCTAGAGCCAGGCATTTGAAATGCATCGCACGGCAACATCAGGGGGTGTTCATGATCAGGCTGGACGGCCATGCCATCCAGCCACAGACTAGTACTGGCATGACCAAGGTGCTTCAGCCGTCGACCACAGGGCCATGAGGCGCGGGTGCAAGGCAGGGCCGCTTCAAAGTACAGTCACGTGCGCTTACTGACGTAGCGCCCCGTGAAAAGACCGTCAGACGGGAGAGCACAAGATCGGCAAGGCTGGTGCTGTCGTATTCAGCACGATCCGTCAACACCACCACGCGGAATTGGCACGAGGACATATTGGACCTACGGCGGATGATCGCAGTCGTTTATACTGTAGAAGGTTTATTGAAGACACATCGGCACGCACTTACGTCAAGAGAGACAAGCTTGGAAAGAGAACATCCTGAAACGGCATCGACCATGGATGACGTGGCAGTCACAATGAGAAGCAAGGCACGTATGAGGCAGAAGCGACGGACCGGCAGACGCTGGTGTGGCGGGAGAAGTTGCTTGGGCTCGGCATCTATGCAGCAGGTCTAAATTACTTCGCAATAGGGTATAGAAATGGCAGAGTGGTTTTGGGTAAGCATGTCTGGAAGTAGGAAAAAGCGCATCAAGGCGCTGACTGGGTTTGATTTAATTCAGGCATAATGTTGTTCGAAGTTGACCATATTGCTTGTCCCAGGTCCGAACGCCGGCAGAAAAAGGCATAGAAAGCTCTCTGCGGCTTGATCATTGTTGCCGCTCTGAAGCTATTCTCCATATGGAGCGTCTTGCTACGTCGTAGGCGTGTACCGATGTACATGCTAGCTATCATCTCGGCCCAGTGTGCTGTCGCTTTTCTCTGACTCGTTCAGTTGGTTGCGGAGTTGTTGCAGAGCCCCTGATGTATAGCTGTGATCGTGACCCAGAATCTGGATTCTGCCATTAAAAACGTCCAGTAGACAGAGGGCCGATCTGCCCGCCAACCCAACAGTGTACTGCACAGTCGCAAGTCGCTGATATAACTCGAGTTTGTATGCTTGTAGCAACTTAGGGCAGCCTTCTAGGCGTCCAATAGCATCGGTAAAGGCTTCTGCCGCCTGTGAGTAACGACCTCGTTCTTGAAGTAAGCGGCCGAGTAGAGCAAGAGAGTTGACTACGAGCAGGTGATCTCGCCCGTGAGTCTTTTGAGCGAGCACAATGCAGTCCTTCAACTCGCTTTTGAGCATAGATGTGGCGAACGTGTCTGTGTACATCCGATGCCACATGAGAAAGTTGCGACCCGCCACAACAGACACGTTACTCTGGCCGTAGAGGTGCGTCATGAACGAAACTGCATCTTGGAGACGGTTGCCGTGATGGACAATCATTGCCTCATCGTCGATGCTGAACGCCAGGAGATATTGATAGAATGCTGAAGCTGGATATCCCGCCTCAGGCGACTTCTCAAGCTCGTTGCAGCAGGAGTATAAGAACTCTAATAGCTCTTCATCCATTGTGTGTGTACCGAGGATAGTTGCAACAAGGCTCAGGAAGGGGACTAGATATTTTTTGCTGTCAGCATGTGTGACGAATGCGCTGAAAGTGCTGATCGCAGCAGGCACTTGGAATCGATTGTGCCCAGCCTGGTCGTCAACACGGAACAACGTATCCCAACAGCCATGTGCCGCGTTGACAGTAGTCTGACACGACAACACGGTGTTTAGATGCACCTCCAGCAGCTTATGATACGGATCTTGCTGCGGCTGCAAAGGGTAGGCAGGTGGACGTTCTGGTGAAACCGTCATAGCTGAATTGCTGATTTTCAGCACGCGCTACTTGTTATGGTTGCTGCAGAATAACCGTATGTTTTGCTCACGGCCCAAATCTGTGCAGTTGCTGAGAACAACAGAACGTTGCACGAGTCGTACAAGATGTGGAAGAAGTGAGCCTCCTTCTACAAGGGTGCGAAGGATATACTTATCTCTTGATGTCCTGCTCAGACGAGCCGGAAGCGCCGGATGCCTTCCTGTTGAGTCGTAATGTAAGCATTGTGACGACGGAGGCACGGCCCAGCGCGTCTCGTGCTGCATGTTTAGCAGATTTATCACACAGACGCCGAATCAACCTTCGCGCCAACAACCGATGGCAGCGGCCCGTGGGATGTGCATTCCAGCCAATCCCTGTCCTACGTTGTGCTCCACAGCTCCGGGCGAGGCACGGAAGGAGTCTCCGGGTCACACCATTGCAGGTATGTTGCTCAGGACAGGGTTGCGTTGCATGGCCTCCGGGGTTCTGTTCATGACTCCTGCGCACCTTGGAGAAGCTGAAGCAAGCAAATGATGTCCATGGTCAGTCGTGGCGGAAAATCACCGTGTAACATTTCTCAGGATTCCTGACCTACACAACACGCGGTGAAAGCTCGCTGGCCAGGTTCTCTCTACGACTCCTGAGCTCCAAGTCTCATACACTCACCACAGAAACGTTACAAAAGGTGTGCCTACACGGGTCGCCCACAGAGGTCATGCTGGTTGTGCCCTTATCATGCGCTAACTGGCGACGGTTCAGGTTATATCTGCATCGATCCTGGCCGGCTCGTCCGACGGCGCCTTTGGTTATTCTAGCTTTGAGTCCAGAATGTTCAGTATCAAACGCCACATTCGTCGTAGTGCATGACTTCCCTGGGGCCTCCTTTGCGACTGCCTCTTTCTGTGCTTTCGACATCCGCTTCATTCAGCCAGCCAGAATGTGAGTTCTTCGCGAACGCACGTGAAAGTGGGAGCTCGTCGTCCTTCTGATAGCAGATCGGACGCTCACGCGTCATATCAAGTATCAATCGCTGTGTGCGATCGCCGGGCAGCTTTTGGTCTGCAGGGAAGAGGCGCCGATCACCGGGTGCAGCCGCGGCACGCGAGCTATCATTTTTAGCGTCGGCGCCTACCTGCTGCAACAGCCTATTGGATGGTGGGAGGCGAAGTGGGTGTCCCCACAAGACCTGACGGCGGCACGGTGAAACAACGCGCGTGAAGCACCACCTGTCTATTACAAACAGACTCCTCGTCTCCTGGCGACAAGGACCTGCTTACTTGTACCACGGCAAACATCCAGAACCGCGTCTTCCGCACAATAATGGGTGCAACTGTGTCAGAAGCTTCCGCCATCGTACGCCATGGTCGGATTGTCCCTTCGCCTCTAGCCCTTCTGGAGTCTACTTGCCGCCTGACTCCATCGCACACCAGACTGAGTGATCTCCCACCGGAGAACCTTGCAAACATCGGATCGTTTTGTTCTTACCGAACCCTTCTCTCTCTAGGACGCTTATGCCTGGCCTTCCGTAACTTGCCTCACACCCATTCTTTGGTAAGGACAATAGCGGAGTCTGCGTGCAACAACAGTGAATTCAATGTCTCTGGGCGATGGTCAGCCATTCTTCTAGATCTATGACATACGAAATCCGTCTGTGTGGCGATTGAGAGGACTATTAAATCTGGCCGGGGCCCGTCGCTGCTTGCTACAAGTTTCTCAAGATCCAGGATTGTGTTGGCTGTCCACGCACATCCTCTTACCGGAGTCATGGATCTCAACGCCCTACAGTGTTGCTTGCACATTGCTCGATATTACAAGTTGGACCAAATGGTTTCAGACACGGCGTTCTGTCTGATCGCGGCGAGTTTAGCGCGAGGAGTTCCCCAGGATGACCTCCACTTTTTCGACTTGAGAGGAGCCAAACCCCTACGATATCAGAGCCATTGGTTGTGATAGCTTTTCTGGCAGTTAACATTTATCGCCAGTCAATGCAGGACATCAGAGAAATCCATCTGTGTCCCGCACTGTCTCGCATCCCATTCACTACCTTGCTAGGAGAGTTACCGTCACTCATGACAGGACATGACACTCTAAAACACTTTGAGCCGCACCTGCAATCAATACTTGTCGACGATTTCCTGGACTGCGAATGGGTTGGTCTCTATCACCGGAACTGGGACTCTTTATATAGATTTGACTCTGTTCAGTCTATAGTAAAAGTTGACAACAATCGCCTAAAAGTCTCCGCTGCAATCATTGAGCCACTGAATATTGTAAGCAATGACTTCGCAATGACGCCTTTTGGACTGGTGGTCTTCTCGGAGGGGGTAACATGGCTCTGGAAGAAGGATTGGTGTAACGACAGGTTTCCGGTGGTTGAGGATTTGGGCGACTGTGGACATCAGCCTGACTTGGTTGTAAGTCAACCTTCATTGCTGCGAGATATGCTTCCGACCAGCATAGTCCTATTATATCAAAATAAGGTTAGCGGATAGGTTCTGGGCGCTGGTGGACGGAATTGACGGCCAGTTCAAATTCCAGAAGGACTATTTCGATGTCGACGATGCGTCTGCCATGGTAGAAATTTCGCACCGCTTCAGGGGGTCCAGAAATGACTAATGTTAGCTTCGAAGTGCTTCACGACTTTCGGCTCGGAGGAGCGTCCACGGAATGACAAAATTACTACTACACGTGTGGAATGTCCAGGTTCTGCTATCAACAAGCTCTCCCTAGACGAAGTCCTCAGCCCGATCTCGCAGTGATAGCTGCAGTAGGCAGACGGGATCAGAACCAATCCCGACTTCGTGTCCCTGACGATCTCATCACCATCCATCATGGCACACCAGCAGATCGTGTATCTCAGTGTCACCAGAGTCCATCATCTCGCGCGCATTGATTCGACATAGACCGAAGATGCGGTAACGGCGGTCAGACTTGATATGGGCGTCTCCCTCACCGTGAGACAACTGAACACCAAGGTGGAGCTGTGACAGGCAGTTGGAACTGTCCTCGCTCTGGCAAGGGCCGAATCTACTAGTTCGATACGTTCTGCAAGACTTCCTTGGCTCTGAAAACACCAACCCCCTCAATACTCGGATACCCTTTCTGGTAGCCCAAAGCGTACACCACTGCTCCTGGCCCAAAGGATGAGACATATTTTTTGTACTGCCTTTTCTCGTTCTGGGCCAGAAATGGATTCTGAGGAAACCCGAAATAGTTCTTGAATTCAAGCCAATGGCATGGGTGTCCGCAGATCGTCACCCGGGCGGAAAATCTCACATCCGGCGTCTGGGGAACGGGAAGTCCCATCTGTTGGGCCTGCTGTCGCTGCTCTTGCTCTCTTGCAAAGACGAATCCTTGTCGGGACAAGCTTTCTGCGAACGCATCTTCTGCCTGCTGTGCCAGTTCTGACCGTTGCCGTTGTCGCTCAGCGCGCCTTTGTGCATCTGCTGGACTTTCGTTTAGGGAATTCAGGCGCTCAGCTGCATTCCAGAGCGACGAAACTACGGAAACTTCAAGTGTTGTTCCGGATCGCCGTACGATATCTTGGACGCTTGCCTGCGTGCGTCTCAAGAGCAAAGCTGTTTTGTATACTGGCTTCACCAATTCAGGCGAGATTCCGTCGTAGGGGGGATGCGTCTGCGAGTCGCGGAGATGTTGTTGGAGAGCGTTCTGGCTGCTGAAAGATCGGCTGCAGTCTGCGCAGTCAACAGGTGCAGCGTGTGCTGGTGAATTGGCCAGATGTTGATTCAGAGCTCTTTCGCTAGGGAACAATCGACGGCAGATCCCACAGTCGAACGCGTGTGCAGTCGAGTCTCTTCTGTGTTGCAACAGCGCGGCGTGACTGGCGAACGACCGATCGCAAGGGACGCAGTGGGAGGTCATTTTGGAAGAATAAGTGCGCAAGTCGCATGAAGAGAATTAGCCCAGAGTGAGAGTTCGTTCTGCACGGGGAACTGCCGATGAGATAAAGCCATCTGCCCGATATGCATGAGCGCCCACGTAACACAGATGTCGTATAACAACAGTGCTTCACAGTCGTCCAATAGTTACATGACACGAGGTCTACCGTGCCGGTCTTGGCTTCTCCGTGAGCTTGTGACAACCGTCACAGAACAATGCGTCATTTTCGCAAAGTAGATGCCTTGTAGCACCCTCCTATGCCTGTTGCTTGTTGACTTTCGAATCGGCTGTCGGCACCTAATGCACAAGATCCGGATCCGTCATTCGAGTTAGCGGCACAGGAGACCATTATCACGTAAGTGCATCGGCGTTGTCCACATGAGCATTTTTTATGTTGCACGGCTATTGTTGCGGAATTCATGATCGACAAACCCCAACATTACCACGCTCGACATGTTGGTGGTGGATTCAGGTCGGCCATGAACTCCGCTACTCTCTGCAAGGATTCTCCGGCGAATCTCCTTGCGAACACATCGCAACATCTTTTCGAGTATGCATGTGCAGGCTTGACAATACCGCCCACGTCTGGCTCGTGCCGGGCAAGGTAGAGCCCATTTGACCCAAGCGTTGCCATGGCTTTCCCTAGGAGCTGTAATGAGAGGATGTAACTCAGCATACAGCTCGCAGCAATAACACGAGGGTTTGCTGCAACCAATATATGGCAGTGATTGTGTGAAACGAAACTCTCGGCGGTGAAAGTGGGCGAGCATCACAGCTTCCGCGTGGAAGCACTGCTGCTTCTGCCGATGTTTCAGTCGCTCCATGAACTTCTTGTCCACATCGAAGCCCCAACGGTGCTGCATTACATGCTTTGCCGATGCCGGAAGATTAGGATTATTGACCGAGGTCAGTGACCCAAGGACTTCATCAAGACTTCTCGTGGGCTCACGTTGCCCTTGCGTCACAATTCCTGCATAACGAACGACCTGCACCGTTGCGTTGCGCAGTATGTCTGAGATCTCGTTTGCTTCCATGGTCACAACCAGTGTAGCTTTCCACCATGACCCAAGTCTGCCAACATAGTGCCGCAAGAGTTGCCAACTACCATTAGGCCCGGATGCTGTAGCCCTTATCCGTAATGTTTGTGATGCTGCCGTTTTTCGGAAGCAGAATGCTAGCGTGCATAGTCGTTCGTGCTCGTCATATGATTGCAGGATCTCGGAAATGTCCTTAGACAGCTGGCGATCTGAATGCTATTCAGCGGATGCGGTCTGAGCTGCAGGCAGTCTTTACCTCTCTCATTGGTCTCTTGAAGCAGTAAGCAGTGAGAAGCAATCGTCTTTAATTGTTCAAGATAGTTTCGAACTCGTTCACGACTGAAATTGACCGACTTCCGAAAAATCTCTTTGCATACAACCTCCCTTGTTTCAGATCCATCGACGAGCTGCCGAAGTCTTCCAAGCAGCCACTGAAGATGCTTCTTCACTCCCCGAGAACTGCCATTGTTGCTTGCGATCCAGAAATTTGACCCGCTGGAAGAACCCTGCACAGCGATCGAAGCAACTGTCCTTCCTCGAGGCAATGGATCACAGAGCCAAGAGAGATGGTCGAGAAATTTCTGTCCTGAAGTCCTGGATAGGGGACGCTTGATCTGAGACTTGGTCTTCGTATCAGGGGTTGTTGGTGGATCAAGGAAGCTAAGCAATGCAACGTATTCACCAAGAACCATCTCCATTCTCCGGCTGTGAGTAGTCGCCATGGGCAGACCTTAAGCTGGTATGGTGACGTCTGAAACTCAAGAGGTTCTTTACTGCGTGTGCTAGAGATTTGTAGAAGTGTAGCTTGCGGATTACATTTTTCAACTGCCTAAGGAGTGGGTTGACCCTCGACTTTCTCCCAGACCCCATCCTAACCAACATAGCTCATCAAAATCTCATGGGTTTGTCACACTCGGATGCCGAAATGCCGGCATGCATGATATGCTGCAGCATGACGCGCCACTTTCTTGTTTCTCCCTGAAGCCCTGAACGTCTCTTCCCCACATAGTGCCACTGCTATGCACTGCATATTGCCAGGACTGGTCTCGTATTCGTAGCTGGTAACAAAACCATGCTGCTGGCCGTACTCATTCAGAGCGGACGCGAACTTCCCAGGATCAGATCCCGGCAAAACATCAGAATCATTAAGATTGTGCCAATATCCGGCAGAGGTGCCACGAGTCGGACGTGGGAGAGGCTGACGCAGTCTCTGCAGTAGTCTAGCTTGCCCTTCACGTGGTCCTATCCGAACGGTCCGTCCGACTTCAGTGACCAGGGCATGGAACGCATGACCAGCGCTACTGTCACCGATGAAGTCGTGGCTGTCATCGTTCATGCCAGAGAGTCGTTGCAGCACCTGCCGATATGGATACGAATGCAGCGTAGTTGTCCATTGACGCTTGATTCGTCAGCATAAATGTGACAGATGGACAGGGCCAACTTGCGTCAATCATCGCCATGTCTCCCGTGAAAGCCTCGGAATGGAGCAGGTGTTGGGCTATCACGCATTCGAAGTACTTTTTACCGAACCAATAGTCAACGTTCAGATCGGCATGGTCACCATTCATCGAAAAATCATCGTCATCTGAATCGCCAAAGCCCATATCGTAGGTCATGGAAGAGCGGCTGTCAGCCGTAGTAGATGGAGCGGATGTTGCCATTGCGAGATACGACATTTCACAAAACTTTGGTCGTGATCTACGACAAATATATGTAGTCGTAGTAATCTCCTCTCCTCATGGTGCAGTGAGAGCGCCAACGCATGCGTCGCCGAGTACGGCCCCGACCAGCTGGGCTGCATCCCTCCATTTAGAGTTCGCGCTAATTTGCGGCGCCTCAGTTGGGCGCGTGAGGACTTAAGTGTAGCGAATAGCGTGTGGTGTTGTCATCTACAGACTGCGCCATCTGCACTTAACGCCGTGGTTGCCAGTAGCTATGACCCCACGTCTGGAGAAGGCCGTTGTTGCAGATGTAGATCAGGTTCTCCACTTTTGTCGCCTGATGATCGACCGAGAACATTTCGGCACGCTTTGGCCGAAGTATAAGGCTACCACGCAGTACCATTGCATGGTGTGCAAGGTTCAAGATACTGATTCTAAGATGGATTTCCCCATCCTATGTGAGCATCTCCTTCATCGGGATCTCGTTCAGGTACAGGTCTCAGTTTCATACCAGTACTTATACTCGCTAAACGTGAACAGGCTGAGAAGATTCAGAGGATCACTTGGCTTCTAGACAGAGTGTACGATGTGCTGGGTTCAGATAACAAGATAGCAAAGGCCGTACCGTTCAAGGTCACTCCGAAAGGCGCGAAGCAAGACCGTCAATACCAGGCCATATTACGGTACACAGGACCGGACATCGAGACGCGCCTCACGCTGGAGCAAAACCACGAGCATTGGCTCGCACATCCTCAATATTTCTGGGAGCCAGTGAATCACACTGCATTCGGTGGCCTGAGTCCAGAAGCACAAATTGTCAGCCGTTACGTGAGTCTGCGCCGCAGTGACGTGTAGTCACGTATGGCACAGCGGTGCGCCTGTATTTTGTTGGTGGAGCAAGTTGCGCAGGTATCTGCCACAGATATCGCCATTGCATTGACTGGACAAACTCATGGTGAATTGTTCGATGATCGATGCAAGACCGTGAAGAAGATGATCGATTCAGGTTCTTACTATCGATCTTTAGAGCAGGCTCTAGGTAAGGGGGTTACCTTAGCCCTCGGGATCAGCCTTGCTGAAGACACGTAAGTGAGGTTATTACTTCTCAGCCAAAAGCGACTGACGTTGCAGATGGACCCGTATCATGACGAAGACAACGCGAAAATTCGATACCGGCGTCAGACATCTGCGAAACACACAGCTTGCGGAAATGGCCCAGACGTACGCTCAACTCCGTGAGACGCTGGTTCAGTTTGAAAGAGAACGTCTGTGGGACCGTACCGAAATGTTTCCCACGACGTATAATCATGCCATGGTCATGGACGACCTCCAATACGCCGAGACCGTACATCTGAATGATGACGAGTGTGATGCAATGCTCCAGATTTGCATTGACGGTGACATCCCGATGCCACCCTTCTGAGTATTCATAGATCACGCGAACCGATGGGTGAGGCTCCACCGTACTTCGTATGGTAAGATCAATGTTCTTTGGAGTAATGGGCTGGCTAATTAATATATTGGTATCAGTAGCACAGCCAGATAGCCATTGGATTTGGCCTTCTTCTTGCTGAATATCTTGCCTGTCTTCCGTGAGTAGCGACGGAGGGAAGATCTTGATGAGAAGGTCTTGGGTTGGAGGGCTAGCCTTCGTGCTTCGATCATATCCACGATGTTCACCAAGACGTTCGACAGTTCCTGGACTTTGTCAGTAAACATCCCAGGTATAGACGCTGGGACGTGCCTTCTTGCAGTGTGTAATTGAGGACGGTGGCGGCTGGATAGCAAGCTCTCGACAGAGGTCCTGCCAACCCTGTAGAGTTGTCTCCGGCTTGCTATAGTGCTCGTTGAATGCTTGTTCGAAGCACTTCTGGCGTTGCTTCGTATAAGTTCGACTGCCTGGTCTCCAGTGTTGATGTTGAGCTAGCCGTTGGAACTCATCGACCAACGCGGCTGTCTCAACATGATTGAAATCTTCGAAGACGGCAAAGTAGCTCTGCCCCATCGTTGCACCACTCATGATCGTACCAGACGCCGGCCTTCACAATAGTCTGGTATGCTCTCCGATTGACGAGGGTGCACTGGAGAAGCTAACGGGTGCCATTCCCTGACATGACATTGCCTGTCCTAAATAGGTCTCAGTAGCGTATTTTCAGCTTCCTTACTTTCTCGATGGATGTATGAGATGTCATGGCATCAGGATCGGAAGCTCCTTGATGCATCATCTGAGTTTGACATTCCAGTCAATGAATTCCTGCTGCTGAAAGCAGGCTATAAAGCTAGCCACTGTCTTTCTGATCCGAAGCCAGCCTTTCTCACCAATCTAGGCAGAGCCAGCGCATCACTATGGAGCTCTTTCTCCATACGACGACAAGCTGCCAGAGTCAGTCATGTTCATACAATGGATCGACACCATGGACCTGATCCGCGCTCTGGTCAACGAAATCACTCATATGGACAGGAAGTCCTTGATATTCGTGGATCTAGAAGGTATCAATCTCTCGCGCCACGTATCAGTGGCGATCATGCAGGTCCTCGTGCCGCCAAATCCTGCGGTGTACCTGATCGATATCCATGTACTGCAGAAAGAGGCATTTACCGCAGCCACAGACGATGGCGAGACTTTGGGTGGTATCCTTGAGTCCGATACCTACGCTAAGGTGTTTTTCGACATGCGCAATGACTCGGACGCTCTCTACAGCCATTTCGATATCCGCCTTCAGGGAGTCATTGACCTCCAGCTAATCGAATTCGCCGCTCGCCCTAAGCGTGGTCGCTTCCTGAAGGGCCTTTCGAAATGCATCACAGAAAGCCGAGTCCTGTCAATAGCACAGGCAAAAGAGTGGGAAAAAAGCAAGGACAGTGGTGTGTGCCTGTTCGCCCCCGAGCGTGGAGGAACATACGAAGTATTCTTGAGACGACCTCTCTCAGTCGTACTGCAGAGATATTGTGCCGGGGATGTATTAAAATTGCCACGCCTGCTACAGGTGTACGCTGCCCGTCTCCCAGCTCATCTCGTGGGTCAGGTCAGTGCCGAAGCTCTATGCCGAGTTGCACTCTCACAAAGCATCGACTTCAACGGCAAGGGAAAGCACATGGCATTAGGCCCAAATTTCACTTGGCAGCGGTAGAAGCTTCACGGCCCTCTCTCAAGAAGCAATGAGCTGACACGGAACAGCACCGGTCATCAGACCCCTGTCGATTTTCCTATGAGCTTGGTCTGCTCGCCTGGACTCAATGAACGCTGCAGACTTGGGGGCACCGCAACGGCTCTCACCTTGCCCTTGCCGGATACCACTTCCGTCAGTGCAGTCGAACGCCAGCCAGGACAGACAGCAGATGAAGTCACTGAGATGACGCACCAACTGCAGGGGGTGAATATTGGTGCAGACGATTGTCGGAGCCTTGGATCAGCTTCCACACAGCACTATGACAATAGCAATGAAGATCATGCCTCTGAGAATGATTTGTCGATTGCAAGCGCCCTCGAGCGGATGATGGCCACGGCCGATGGCATTGAATCAATATCAAGCTTGCCATTTCGAACCATGGCGATCTCGCCGTCTGATGACGATGCTGCCAAAGACTTCACCGCTTGTAGTGGGGATGATTGCGGCTGGTGTGGCCATTGTACCTACTGATGGAATCATTCCTCTATAGTATTGCTTACTCTACCTTGCTGGCGGCTCACTCGCTCTACGCGTCACTCCACAAATGCGGGAATCGCGGTCTTTGATTTTGCGGCAGACTGTCCGATCGGTGTTCAAGAACACCTTTCGATCGTCGGGAGGGTTTTCCTTCGACCCCACTGGTGAGAAGCGGCACAACGCAGCAGTGGTCCAAGCAGGCTGATCTGAACACCGGCTTCGCGAGTGACTGTAACAAGTATATTGCTTTTATCCTGCTGCCACTTTCACGCTGATCTTCACAGTGTTGGAGTGTCGGGCAGAGCTCGGTGTAGCGGACCATGCGCTTCAAACATGCATCACTTCCGGCACTAGTGTACCATTCCGATTGAAACGAATATGGTAGGGACTGACGAAGATTGCAATATCATTGAACAGTCCTTGGCGTGCACAGGCCACAATGCAGTGAACTTCGTTGTGGCCCGTGCGGCCTAAGATAGCCACTGAGGAGGGGCCTTCGTCCGTCCGGCCACAGCATCCTGAAGTGACGAGCATGAATCTCGAAGTAGTGATAGCTTGAGTTGAACGTTCATAATGGACGCTTTCCGTTGAGGGCCAGTATGCTATCATACAAGCAGCAAACTCGAATAGCACCATCGGTACGCGCCTAGGGAGGTTATCCGGAGTTAGGCTTCCACTTAATCCGGCGTGAGGAAAGCAGATCATACGCTTGACCTAGCTGCGCAGTGCTTGTGACGATCATGATCGCACGTGATGGTTTTGTCGATCGCATGGACGTCTGTGTCACACTTTCCCTCGAAACCAGAGAAAATTCCATGTCTCAGTAAGCATGCTCACACTGTCGAGACTTTAGCCATTAGCACATATACTAAGCCCTACTAAAGTTGCTCTCCCTGCTGTCTGGTTCCTCTACCCCGAGACCCGCGGCCGAAGCCTCGAAGAGATCAATTTATTCTTTGCTTCGCCTTCGCTCCTTGTCAGTGCCAACGAGAAGGAGTATAACAGGAGGGTCCAAGAGGCAGGGGGCAATTCTGCTATGGCAGAAAGGCGTTTACTTGATGAGGTTGACGCGTCGATAAGAGAAAAAGATGCTAAGGTTTGGGCCTCTGCGGCACCTGACGATAGCGAAAAAGGAGGTGCATCCCGAGTTGTGATGCATAGTGTTTCCAAGGCGTAAATGACGGGTGTAGGATGATAGAGATTCTGTTCCACCTGTGTCCTGAGTCGCTACTACCAGTACACAAAAATCACTACTCACAGAAAGTGGTTGTTGGTAATATAGTGTCATAGCCTCGCCCTGCCTTAATAAGTAAGCTTTCTTTTTGTTGTAGTCGCTCTCTTTCTCACGCCGTCGTGTTGTCATCCTCTTCAAACGCTCATCCATCGTGGCGCTCTGACCGAGACACATTCATCATTGCACCAAGAGGAAGCTGATAGTGCGACTCAGACCTTGTCCGGGCGCAGAGACCCTGAACTCAACACCAGACTGGTCTCATTTCTAGTCTACCCACTCCTTTTCGACTTTGCTGTCATTCCGCTCCATCACATTCGAGTCGATCATCTGTCTCGGCGCGAAGAGGTGCGCAAAGTGTTCAAGAGGTGTTGTCTATCTTATCGTGAGCATGCTTTGATGCACTGTTTAATTGTCCTGTAATGCATCACGCTCATGCCATGCCTGGGTTGCTCAATACGTGTCATTCTTGACATGAGGACATGATCGTGTGGGTATGCGCCATGTCAAGCTGCCGGAGTATGCTGTTCAGCACCGGCAGCTGCTTCGTCATCGGTCGTTTCCGTTCCGTTGCATGACTTCCACGGCAGCCATGACAACAACACTCAGACGCCTACTGGGCTTGTTGAAGCTCGAAAGTTTCTTCAGTGGCATACAGTCGTGTCTGCTGAGTGGCATATTTGCTGATGCTAACGATACTGATCCCAGCCGTGAATACGAGCTTGCTGGCTCACCTCAATGCTCACCCCTTTCCGGGGTTTGAACAAGCCAAGACTGCAGTGCTACGCTTAGATCAGTCTGATGTGCATTGGCAGGTCGACAGGTCACATTTCGCATATTGCACGGCCTTTGTGTGTCCTTCCTTGTTAAAGACAAATCCCACACGTCCAAGGCCTCGATACAGTCCATGTAAACGACAAAGTCGTCGTTCTCTGTGATCTTCGGCGTCCGATACCACTCAATCACCATGTCCCGGTCTTCGCCACAACTTACGCCAACCTATACCGGCTGTACTGAAAGCGTGTACAATGCTACAATTCTCATCGAGGCCTGCATGCGGGCTCAACCTGGCTGCGGCCCTGTCAAGACGGTATCTCAGCTCTCAGACCGTGACTAGGCTCCATGTCACGTGACGCCGATCGTGGTGCAGGACCAACACATTCCAACAGCGACGGCGACGGCGACGGCGACAATGAAACAGTGTACGGGAAGTTCCTCTGACAGCTAAGAAGGAGGCGCAGTGAGCGACGGACCTCGCTGAACGAGGGTCGTTGAGATTATCTACACTGCATACACTTCAGTATCAAGCCCTCTCTACTTGTTCTGGAATCAGACCCCAAGTGTTGTTTAGGTTAGACTATACCTGTTGGTTCGCTTTACGAAATTGTCAGATTGGATGCGACATTGGGAAGGGCGGTAGGAGTGTTTGAAGCAGCTTGTCGGACGATAACTTTACCAATTCGAGTCGTTCAAGATCCAAATTAATTGAGTCAACATAGTTTCTCCTCTCGTACTATCCCAGCCGTCACACCTTGTCTCACTCAGCACTCACCACCTCCACGTCCTTCTCCTTCGCAGCCCTGTGATGGTCGTCCTCGACAGCCTCCATGGTCAACTTGTCCCCAAACACAGTATACAGCTTCTCCAACTCCTTCTCCTCTTCCCACGCGAAGGGGCTCCGGCTGGCGAACAGGAAATCCATCGTCTCTAACGTCCGCTTCGCCGTCTCGGGGTAGAAAGCCCAGATCAGCACAGGGTAGATCAGATTCAGGCTCCCAAAGATCCAGAAGGTGTTGTACGTGATGCGTTGGAACATGATGGGGTTGACGAGGGTAGTCCAGGCGCAGCCGATGGCGAAGCCAGCGACGGCAAAGGAGTTGCCTTTGGCACGGGTGGAGGTCGGAAAGATTTCTGTCGGGTCTGGGACGGGGGAAGCGCGTTAGAAGGTTAGGATTGAAGGGGAAAAATGAGGGCAGGGGACGTACAGATCCAAGTTACCATCAGCCAGGTTGATGAGAAGAAGGCGGTAAAGAGGAAGAGGAACACGGTACAGCCGATGCCATAGCCTGTCTTGTTCTCTGGGTGGTCTTGTACTAGCTTCGCAAACCCGCCGGCGATGAACATGGACGCGGCGCATCCGATGCTGCCCACGTAGAGCATCATGCGCCGGCCAACGCGGTCGATGAGTAGGGCGCAGAGGTATGTGCCGGCGATGCCGAAAGTGTTGTTCAGAGCGGAGATCCAGCCGATTTTGTGCGCGCTCCAACCCGCTTGGGCGAGGACTGTCGGACCGTACATGACGACTGCGGTGATTCCGCCCCTGTTGCTGTATATGAGTCCGGTGTGGATGGGACTGGGGTTATTCCATTGCACTCACCATTCCATCATGATCTGAATACAAAAAGCGAGAGCAACTCGTCGACCGTAGTGCAATTTCCCAGACTGATAGCCGAAAGGCATGGCCCAGAGTGAGTCACGGGTGGCATGTTGTGTCTCCGAGGCAATGACTCTGCGTATCTCGCCGAACTCTGCAGCAACTTGAGGCGTCACGTCCCTCTTGGCCGAATCCTCTCGCAGCTTCTGCAGGATCTCCAAGGCTTCCTCGTGGCGATCTTGCTTGATCAGCCAACGAGGAGACTCTGGGAAGAACCAGATGGTGAGGGAGAGGATCAAAACAGGGATCAGATTGAAGCCAATGGGGAATCGCCACCTGAAGCCCCCTTGACCGCCATTCACGTAGCTGACGCCGAAAGCTATCCAGTACGCTACGGCAATACCGATATAGTTGGCCAGGAAAAGAAGACAGACAGACTTGCCACGTGTATGTGAAGGAGCAAGTTCCGAAGCCCAGCAAGGAACGACGTTGATCAGGTGGCCGGCGCCGACTCCAGCAATGAGACGAGCGCAAAGAAACCAATCTAGGAATATGAGTAATCAATTCCTCAAGTGCTTTCGGGGTGAGCTTACTGGTGTTCTGAGCTGCGGTCAAAAGTGCGGTCCCAATTATCCCCCAGAAAGTACCAAGGAAGACAGCGATCTTTCGACCATGCTTGTCGCTGATGCTCCCGCCCCAGAGACAGCCAACGAGGGCACCGAGGTAGTAGATGGACACAAGGCCACCGTCCTTGGTCGAATTTGTGATGACACCATCCTTACCGATGTCGGTGATCCGGATGGCATCCGGGGAGCTGAGCACACCCTGCCATGACGTTAGAATGAGCTCTTGATGTGTGGTATGGGCCGATTTACCCCCATCACCCCCTGATTGTAGCCTTCATAGAAGATTCCAAGCCCTGAGAAGGCATTGATGCTACATTAACGGTCAACAGATTGATGAGAAACGCAGAAATTCAAGCAAATCTGACCAGAGAAGGACCGTGGGCCCAGAGAAGTTCTTCCAAGATTGCAACCCCATGGTCAAACTCGATGGACAAAGGCCGGATTAGACAGGGAGAGGTCGTTGATGCGGTCGAAAAAGGCTTCCAACCAAGTGGCTTTGATAAGGACGAAGGCTACGTCTGCACGAGAAAGACGAGCCAGCGTCCGTCATCATATGTTGTTTTCCTCTCCGCGTAATGATTCCTGGATCTCCGGTTCTGGTCTGAAGATGCGGAGGTGGATGTGCTCTTTTGCCTCGCACCGTTTAGCCGTTTAAGCGTGAGAATATGTCAAGGTTGTCATTGGCTGGACGAACGGCACCCGAGAGTC